CACTGATGATCACCAGACGGAAGTGCCTTGGTGAACATATCAGCAGTGTTGGCTTGAATGGCCACGTGAGCAAGACGAAGCTGACCCCGCTGCTGCAACTCTCAAGCCAGGAAGTATCGCAGAGCAATATGCTTCGTTCTGTGCTCCAGTCTGTGCTCCTGACACAAGGCAATGGCTGCCTTGTTGTCGACGTACAGACTTGAAAGAGGACGAGGCCTCTCTCCCAAATCGGTCAGCACGTAGGTGAGCCAGCGTAACTCCTATGCAGCCATGGCTGTGGCGCAGATCTCAGCCTCAGAACTGGTGCCGAGAACAGAAGACGAGCGCGTAGACCGCCAAGAAACTGAGCTAGAGACAAGACTGAAGGTGTAACCCTGTGACAACCGCTGCGTAGCCTGGTTGTCAACCCAAGAAGCGTCCGAGTGACCAGTGAGGACAACGTCGCCCCGTCCTCCAAGCACGAGCCCGATGCCCGATGAACTGCCCAAGTAGCGCAGTACCCTCTTAGCAGCATCCATGTGCACCTTTCGATGCCGACCATGAGCCACATAGCGAGCCAGAAGGCCAAGGGGGTACGCGAGGTCAGGACGAGTGCAGGTCATCAGGTACATGAGGCACCCAACTAGCTCTAGGTAAGGACCACTCGGCTCTACGGACTCGTCCGAAGGTGGAGCTGAGAGCGAGTGACCTGTAGCCAGAGGAGTGGCCTGTGCCGAGGACCAGGTGAAGCGGAAGCGCTGAAGGACCTGCTGCACCATGTGAGACTGAGTCAGTGTGGTGGTGCGGCGTGCTCTGTCCTGGGTGATCTGCAAGCCAAGGTAACTGCGCAGCTCACCCAGGTCTGTGCACGTATGTCTCTTGTGCAGCTCCGAATTCACCAGGGCGAGAGCCTCAGTGTCACCAGTGGCAAAGACCAAGTCGTCGACGTACACGAGGATGTAGCACGGCGGCAACAAAGTGTCGGTGCGCAGAAACAGCGACGGGTCAGCGGTCGAAGGAGCAAACCCAAGAGCAGCAAGTGTCGTCCTTAGTGTGTCATGCCACTCACGTGGCGCCTGGCGGAGACCGTAGACCGGCCGCCGGAGGCTCCACTGGGTACCAGGAGGGAACGACCCAGTGAAGCCATGTAGGCGACGCAGCCAGATCTCCTCGTGCAGGCTGCCCTGTAAGAAAGCTGTGCTGAAGTCAAGCGAGTGAAGCTCGTAGTCACGCTGAGCGGCAACGTGCAGCAGCACCCGAAGAGTGGTCATCTTCGGGGTGGGGGAGAAAGTGTGGAAGAAGTCAACTCCATCCCGCTGACTGAAGCCTCGAGCAACGTAATGAGCCTTGAAGACAGGCGGAGAACGTGGCGGCCGCTTCACCCTGAAAATCCACATGCCGTCGACGATGTTCGCCCCAGGAGGGGGAACCTCGTCGACGTAGGTGCATGTGGACTTCCAGGATGTCATCTCTACGTCCATGGCTGTCTGCCACTGAGAGGAGTACTCACCCGCGATCGCCTCAGCGTAAGAGCGCGGGGTCGGGATGTCTGGTGCATTCGGGTCTCCCTCAGGGGCAAGCAGCATGGGCACGAGATGAGGCGCAGCGGCCTCAAGACACTCAAGGTCCTCCTGTCTGTCCTCAAGGACGTCTGTGCCAAGAGCACCCACCCAAGTCCCCACCACCACCGCCACCACCACTCCCCCCTCCGCCACCACCGCCGTTGCCACCGCCACTGCTCCCGGCACCACCACCGCCCCCACCACTACCTCCACCCCCACGACCACGGCCACTACCTCCACCGCCCCCGCCGCCTCCACCACCGCCCCCTCCACCGCCACGTCCGCCACCCCTGCAACCCTTGCCTCCCTTGAAGCCGCTGCGCTTCCCACTCAGAGCGGAAGCAGCTGCGACCTTCTCAGCACCAAGGAGGTCGACAGCAGCAGCTGCGGAGGCGTAGGAGGGGGTTAGAGGTAGGGGGAGTACCCCTCAAAGAGGGGAGTGCGGGGATTACCACGAGCAGCACCTACAGCTAGAATGTTCTTCTCGGCTGCTAGGAGGTGCTTCTCGAGGTCGTCGACAGTGAGAGAATGGGGGTCAAGGGCGAGGAAGTGGTCCCTGACTGAGCGAAGAGTGTCAGGGAGGCGGGTGATGAGGAAGTAGAGAGTCAAGTACATCGGGGGGTGGTTCTCTGCGAGGAACTCGGCTGGAAGGGCGGCACGACGGCGAGTGTCACTAGCGCGTAGGTGAGATGTGGTCCTCAGCGGTGGTAAACGAGGACAGGTCGGGGAACAGGTAGGGTAGCATAAGTCGACCGAGGGCTGCAGTGGCCGGGGAAGAGTAGCGGGCAACTACAGCGTTGTACTGTGCCTTGGCAGTCTTGTGCTGGCTTTTTGCGCGCGCTCTGTGATCGGCAGATGGTTGCGAATAGCGAGGCGCGCAGCAGCATCGTGGGTCTGCCACTGGGAGCGGTCTAGAGCAGGCTCAGTGTCAGCAGGAGCAACGGCAGTGCCAGTCAGGGTAATCGAACAGGGAAACACCATCCTTGGTATCAGTCAGAAGGAACAGTTGCAGGTCGTCAAGCCAGGTGGTAAACTCTACTGGGCGACCGTCAGGATCGAACGCGAGCACGTTGAGAGTCGCCATACTTGCAATGTAGGCAAGTCTAGTGCGCAGGCGGCAAGGCAAAAGGCAGGCAAGGAGAGGCTGCGTGCAAGGCTGCAGTGGCGGCGCACGGACTGCAATGGTGGCGCACGTACTCCTAAGGCAGCACGGAGGGCAGCAGTGGGCTGCGCGTGGGCCTCTAAAGCGGCGCGCGGTGCAGCAGCGGGCCGCACGCGGGCTCCTAAGGCGGCGCACGGTGCAGCAGTAGGCCGCGCGCTGGCTCTTAAGGCGGCGCGCGGAGCAGTTGCGGGCTGCGCGACCGAAGGAGGCGACGTGCGGGGCAGCAGCGGGCTGCACAGGCGGTTTACGCGGCGCGCGGGCCGGCGGCAGGCTGCGCGGGCGACGGACGCGGCGCGTAGGGCCTAAGCGGGTTGCGCGCGGGCTGGCGGCAGGGTGCGCGGGCGGCAAACGCCGCGCGCGGGGTCGAAAACGGGCTGCGCGCGGGCTGCTTAAGCGGCGCGCGCGGGGGGAAAAAAAAAAGGCGCGTGCGTGCAGTCGAGGCGCGCGCGGGCAGCAGGCAAGGCACGCAGGCAGGCAAGGCCGTAGGTGAGGTAACGCGGTAACAGGTGGGCCCTAATCTAAGGTCCTAAAGACCTACTGCTCTAGATACCATCTCAGAGCAGGCCTCTCGTTATCAGGGTAAACTACCCTTTTTGCACTGACTGGCGGCCGCTTTTTTTCAGTTACCCTTTCACAGGCAGGGTAGTGGATTTTTTACCCTAGGCCAGAAAGTGTAAGTTTTTCAATACCCTTTGAAAAACAGCATAAGGAACACATTACTCTGACTGTACAGTGTACAATCCAAGCTATACTGGTACTAAGTGCTCCGTAGCGAGACGAAACACTATACAGGTCCCTGCAAAACGATACCACTAGCGAGATTTGAACTTGCAACTTTACAGATCTAATGCGCAATCGACCAGCTAAACTACTAGCCATTGATCTTGAGTGCTTCGGGACTTAACCTAATCACAAGTTTTCAAGAATACCCTGCCCAAACAGACTAACTGTTTTTTTACCCTGCATTTTTCAGGGAAACAAAAATTTTACCCTATGCATCAGGGTTGACTATACCTAGAACCCTGATTACTAAGGGTGGCCCAAAACGAATATGAAGCCCTGTCTCAGAGACTAGGCAGGAATGAATTGACTATCGAGAGGATTGGTACAAGGAGAAAAGCCTAAAGGGGTTTTACCCCACATTATCTACCCTACTACAGCCTACCCACACATATAACATATGCATATGTTTGACATGTCCCACCCGCAGGGAACCTGCGGAGGCGTCCGCACCCCGTGGTGCTGCAGTGGATCGCGGAGGCTTGGGATCAAGTCCCCAAGCAGATCATCATCGACGCGTTCCGCCACTGTAGATTTCAAGCAAGCTGGACGGAACAGAGAACCACCTGGTGATGTCTCACCTGCGCGCCAGGAGCACCACCGATGTCTCCGAGGACATGACCCTCGGGGGGACCACGGGCGACAACACGCGCCTGCTCGGCCAGGCTCCAGAGGAGGAGGAGGAGGAGATGCAGGCGGAGGGCGTGGCAACCGGCCTGGAGATGCTGTACCAGGAGACCCCCAACTACTGCGGAGCGGCGGCTGAGGCTGACCGCATGATCGAGCCTAGGGAGACGGCCATGCATGCCTGGCGAGTGCCAGACTTGGGTGTAGAGCCTGTTGTTAGTGCAGGTGAGGCGGTGACTGAGGGGGGTTAGGTAGAAGTAGAGATTCATGAATGTATGTATGTACCCCCGTAAAGTAAGCAAGGCTCGTTTGGAAGACACCCCCTGTTTACAAGAGAACCCCTAAACCCCTGTTCTGATTATACGATAAGGGCGTGTTCCTACGACCCCTTATCAGGGCAACCTCTTATCAAGCTCGCTACTTTTCCCCCTGAAAATTCCCTAAACCCAAAAACCCTCGCTACTTTTACCAGGCAAGACTGACAAGAGGTTTGCCTGAGAAGAGCGTAGGAACATGCCCTAAGACATATATGTCTTATCTCGTACACACAAATACGGTAGGTGTCGTATAAAAAGGCTAGCCTATTTTTAAGAGACACCCGTATAATAGACAACCCCTGTCTACTATTCAACACTGTCTAATATCCGGGCGATGACGGTAGCACCCTGATCCTATACTACTTTACCACCCACTGTTAGCGAACACACCATACCTTGAACGTCCAGCACGCTTGGGAGTACAATTCACAGTATAAATACCAGTATCTATACACCGTATGACATCTATAAATATGACTTCAATGGAGACCCTGGGATCCGGGTCCTTTCCTTGAACCAGGCCAGGAGATTACGCGGGGAAAGGGACGAGGGGCAGGGAAGGCATTGGGCATGTCAACGTGGCTTGAAGGAGGCACTGAGAGATTGCCCAAGGATGAACCACGTCGTGGTGAGCAATGCTCCCACGCTTGTATGGATGAAGACTCTATCGAGTACAAACCCGTACACAGATATTCCCACTGCTGAGCTGGACAGGAAGTTGACTGTTGGAAGCAGAGGGCGCGAGAAGGGACAGCAGAAGGGGTCGATGCGGACGTAAGGGAGAGAACATAGGGTCAGTGGCAGAGCATACACAGCAGATGGGATGACAAATGCGATGCATGAGATGATGGCAGAGCATTGAGCAAGGAAGTGCACGGGACTCCCACAGAACATGGTGCCAGCAGGGGTCACACACAGGAGGGTGAGGAGTGAGATACTAGGAGTGGAAGCAGTGAGCGTGGGGGGGTGGGGAGACATTGGAAGGAGGCAGTGGGGGTACCAAGAGCAGCGCGCTGTGCCCATGCCTCCTGTCTCTGCAGCAGCTCCAGTGTCAGCGCCATCTCTCCATCCCTCCCTCCCCACCCCCCCCGCTCCATCCCATGCACACGCCCTTGTCCTGCGCCATGGCTTGCGAGCACTGCAGGGTCCTGGGCAGGCCATGGTGCTGCTTCTGCGTGCTGCCCACGTGGTGCGCGTAACAGGGGTTCAGTGAGCCTGGATGGAGAACGATGGGGGTCATGTTGGGGAGTAGTGGAGGGGCACGTAGGCGCCGTGCTGCTGCAGCTGCCAGTTGTGCATCTGCGACCGGATATTGTGTCACAGTTGCTGTTGCTGGTGGTGGTGGTGCTGTGGGCAAGTGAGTTGGTGTACGGGTGCAGCACGGGTGAGCCAGTGTATACGTGGTCCACCAAGTCACCACACGGAGCAGTGGTGGGGTCAAACGAGGGGTGGGCGGCGGGCAGGGAAGGTTGGGAGCTGTGGCGAGGGGGGATTGATATGGGGGCGAAGGGCGAGAGAGCGGTGGCTGTAGGCTGCAGGAGAGCAGCAGCGGCGGTGTGAGTGGATGGTGGAGGAAATGCAGGAGGGAAGGAGAGGGAGGGAGTGGGGGGGAGGAGGGGCGCGGAGTCGAAGGTGTGCTGGGCGTGCATGGCGGCGGCGACTCGCACGATGCGGCGGTGCAGGTGGGCGAGCTTGGAGGCACAGCGCAGACACATGCCCGTGCCCACCAGCGCCACCACATTCGCCACCTGCCACCGCAATGTCAGAACAGACATGCGCGGGACGGCAGTGTGGAAACCGAAAGAAGCATAGAATGAGAAAGACATGGCAAGTGGTGAGAATGACAAGGGACAGCGCGACTCACAATGAGGTGGCCGGAGTTGAGGAAGGAGAGGGGCGTGGGCCCATCGCGGTACTGCACCATGTGGAACATGGACGCCAGCGCACCCAGCAGCGTGATGGCGAAGGCGAGCAGCAGGAAGAGGCGGAAGCGGCGGCTGATACCCGCCAGCCCTGCGGAGATGCGTGTGTACTCGAAGAAGCAGAAGGCAGGGTCGCTGCACCGCTGCACCACGTCCCTGTACCCCTGCATCTTCAGCTCCTTGGGGGGGGGGGGGGGGGGGGGGAAGGGGTTTCGGAGTAGAGTGCAGGTGGACGGGTGCAGTTGGAGCAGTGGGTAACAGTGGTGGGTGAGCGAGCGTTGAAGATGGAGGAGGGTGCGGTGACACCACATCGAACAGCTTGGTATCCCAGCATCCACCATGCACTGTGTCGCCGCACTCAAGGTCGCATGGGTCGGGTAGGGCGGTGAAAATGCGAACTTGGGGGCGGGGCGGCTTGTGTGGGGTTTTGGTGGTGGAGGGGGCGTACCTGCAGGGAGCAGGCCTTGGAGAAGAGCACGCAGGTGAAGAGGAAGGTGGAGGCGGCGAAGAGCCAGGAGATGGAGCCCAGCACGAACAGCAGCGCCACCTGCACCACGTGGTAGCGCGGCGGCAGCAGGTGCGGCTCGGTGCGCAGGGGGATGCAGGCGAAGAGCAGCGCCTTGTGCAGCAGGTGCAGCAGGAAGAGCGGCATCAGCAGCCACAGCAGCATTGATCGGTTTTGCTGCCGGCACAGGTGGCGGGGAGAGGGGTGGGGGGAAGGAAAGGGGGGAAACGAGGGGTTCGAGTAGAGAGAGAGGGAGAGAGACAGACACGAACCGCATCTCCAAACCTGTCACCACTGCCAACCACGTCGCCCAATCAAACCTGACATCACCACCTGCAGCTGCACCGCGAACAACAGAGAGGGGTAACCAGCCGCAATCGTCATGCTCCCCTGTCACGTCGCCTGCCAGAAGAATCGCACCTTCTTTTCGCAATGGTCACGCTGACACCTCTGCTGCAACTCGCCAAGGATCCAGATTCCTTGCCAGCCTGGATAGTTCTGCTGTTCGCCGCTCACCTGACTCTGCGTCAGCACTCGCCAAGGCACCCCGATTGGAAGGCGACCAGAGCCCGACTGCGGAAATTCCTGCGTGGGGAGTGGGATTCGCTGTACCAAGAAACTGTGGATTCTCTGGAAAATTTCCCCCCGCCAAGACACCAACCTGACGAGTTGGGGTGATATCCAGGGCGGAGGGATTGGCGTGACGTGGCAGTCTAAGAAGGGTGGTTATGGCACTGGAGGCCACCCCAGTCAGCACTCCATCGCCTGCAGTACTTGATTCCCTCCGCGCCAAGCATCCAAGTGCCACGCGTCCAGATTCACCGTGGCCCCAGCTGACCCAGATTCCTACCTGGCAGTTTCGCGGGAAGCTTTCCTGAAGGTTCTCTCGAGATGTGAGAACGGAGTAGGAGCTGGCCTCTCGGGCACAACGTTCGAACACTTGCGCGAAGCTGCCCTCATGCACCCCACGGTTGGCTCTCATCTGCATGCCTTAGTCAATACAGTCGTGAGAGGGAAACTGCAGCAGGAAGTAGGGAAGTTACTTACAGCCTCGCGTCTAATAGCACTCTGCAAGCCGGACGGAGGGACCAGACCGATCGCCATAGGCGAGTGCGTTCTGCGATTAGCTGCCAAGGCAGCACTAACACAGTTAGCAGAAGCAGCAAGGGAATTTTTCTTACCTTTGCAGTTCAGAGTTGGCGCACCAAGGGGAGCAGAAGCCGTCATACACATCGCTCGAACGTTCACCGCCGCGAACCCGGGCGCGCTGGTCCTGCAAGCTGACCTGACCAACGCCTTCAACAGCGTTGACCGCCAGGCCATAGCGGCTGCCTTGAAAGACTCACCTCTAGAACCGCTACTGCCACTGGTGCACTTCTCCTACGGCCAGCCATCTACAGTGCACCTGGACGCCGCCTTTGACCATGCGCCCTTGCGCAGCGAAACTGGTGTCCGCCAGGGGGACGGGACCCTCTCGGCCCCCTCCTTTTTGCCGCGGCCATGCATCCAGCTTTGAAGGCAGCAGCGGAAGCACACCCTTCAGTCGTTTGTCTGGCCTATGCGGATGATGTCACGTTCCTGGGCGAGCCAGCGGAATGTGCAGCGGCTTTCGACCACTTCACTGGCCGCTTGGCGGAAATCGGGCTCACCCACAATCCAGCCAAGTGTGCGGTGTGGTCGAGCACCATGCCTCTGGAATCTCGCCTACCCGTAGGCGTCCCGCTGAGCGGCGAAGGTTTAAAAGTGTTGGGCAGGTACATGGGCAGGGATTCAGCAACCACAACCTTCATATGTACCCGCATGGCCGCGATCACCGCGCCCTTGCGGCTGATCGACCGGATGGAGCCGCAGCTGGCGGGCCTGCAGCTGTCTCGGTGTATCTCCTGCCGAGTCTCTTACCTGGCCCGCACGACTCCGTTACCGCACCTGCCCGAGGAGGAGTGGTCGGGCTGGGGACGAAGGCTTTTTGAGACACTCCTAACTGCATGCGGCATCAATCACGTGCGCGGAGAAGAGGAAACATCACGCTCCTGGGCTCAAGCTTCACTCCCCGTGTCGCTTGGGGGCCTTGGCCTGGCGGACCCTTCCTCGCCGGTCACACGCAGGCCCATCAACTGCTCGACTCAATGGACAACGGAGACATCGGCCCTCTGGAGGTTACCTGCGAACTGATGCGCGGACCCTACACTCAAACCTCCACACTGACTGAATGGCTGGCTAAGTGTGAAGAGCATCTCCCACTACCAGCCCAGGAACTTTTGCAAGCAGAGAGACAGGCTCCATCAGCAGGGAAGCTGCAGCACGGGCTGGGCACAGCTATTCAGGGCCAGCGCAACACGGTGCAGGTGGAGGGGATGCGGGGGATGAGCCCGAATCCCAACAACGGTCATACGCAGCGGATGTTGTCCCTGTCAGGGTATGGGGCGAGAGACCGGTTAAACGCAGTGCCTTTCTTCTCCTCGCTCCGTCTTGAGGCTCCCCGCTATTCCAAGTTCCAACGCGCTCCAGTTCCGGATGGGGCTCCCCTTTGCCGCTCCTGGGGTGTGCAACTGCACCAAGAAAGTGAAAATCCCTGATAAACGGCTCCCGAATCATCTGCTACGGTGCGGTACAGGGGGGGGGGGGGGGGGGGATCAACACGCACAATGAACTTCGGGATGAGTGTGCGCGAATGGCGCAGGACGCGGGATTTATGGTACACAAAGAAACAGCCGCCTTCAGCCCCATTGAGGAGAAGAAGGCGGATTTGGCATTACGCGACTGCTCCTCATCGGCCGTGTACATCGGCCGTGACAATCACAGATCCCATCAGCACCCGCGACGAAAACACGAAAAAAGGGCAAGGGTGGGCTGCTCAGGAGGCTGCGGCTAAGAAGCATGACCATTACAAGGACCGCCCGGAGTGGGTGAAGTTCTTCCCACTCGCCGTAGAAACCTACGGGTGCCCCTGCCCTGAAGCAGTGGATTTCCTACGGGTGCCACTCGCTGAGACTGCTGCACGTAGGCACTTTAATGCTGAGTCCCAAGTCTTACCAAGCTGCCAAACTCTTACACCAATATCGGCAGCGGTGGTCGGTGGCTCTTCAGAGGGGGCAGTAAGTTGGGTACATGGAGAAGTGCAATATGGCAGCTGCGGTAGAAAACCCACTGCTGGGGGCGGATGGTGAGGCCCCGTCCCTAGGGGACTTCCTCACTGTTCTGGACCCCCTGCTGGATCTCCCTTAGAAGGAGTCAAGCCGGGTAGCAGCGAAGAGGGCGTGGGTAGGAGGTTTTTGAGAAGCGTTGTATGGATGAAATTCTTATATCATGCATGTCCGTACACCGCTACTATCAATGAACAGGCCATTAGAGAGAGAGAGGGAGACATTACTCACATCACTCGCCTCCAAGCTCACTGCACATTACCGACAGCGCTAGTCGGTGATGCTGCAGCGCTGCCAAGCAAACGCCCTGATGGCCAAGTCCAACAGGGCAGTTGAGGCGGCAGCAGACTCGTGGGAGCCCCACCTTGGGGACCTGTGGCAGGTCCTGGAGGACGACCTGACCCAGGTGACAGACCTGGATGTGTAGACAGCCCGGGCTACTCCCCAGGCTCCCCACTCCAAGCAGCCCCCCCCTCCTCTATGGCAGGCCGTGGTTGGACTGGTCTACGTTGGCAGATACGCCCTGGGCAGGGTTGCGTACCACGTATATACGCAAGCGTATATACGTGGTACGCTAATACGCTCGTATTTCTTGGAAATACGCCCGGGCAGCCCGTCGGAAAAAAAAACTCGGAATTGAATTTTTTCGCGAAGGTTTTGCGACTTCGCGATTTGTTACCGCGCAGTCGCATATCGCCCAACCCACTTCTGAAATTCAAATTTCGAGCTCCAAACCTCCCACCACCCCAACCACACATCACCCCACCAAACCTCTCATCTCCAACCATCCCTCTCAAATGTTGTTCACCAACTCGTCTGCTCATATACTATTGAGTTCCTTTGTGTCATTCAGTTTCCGTGGTCGTTTTCATTCCCGTAGCTCTCTTCTCCCGTTTTTCCTCATGGCGTCTAACTCCACCTCTCCTGCTGCGACGAGCAATGTTGCCTCTGTTCACGCGTCACTAGCAAAATCAATAAGGAGCCTGTTGAGGCTGGCCTTTCAAACCCCATTTTGAAACATTTCCTTATTCCGTACCATACCAAAGGCACTCCGAAGGTGTGTAAGTTTTGTGACTTCACGTTTGAGGGCGGAACCACTCGCTACGCGGTTCACCTGGCGAAATGGAAAGGGCAGGAGAAACGCGCTGTCCGGCTTTGCAAGAAGGTGTCCCCGGTAGTCAGTGAAGAAGTGCGCGGCATGTGCGAGGAGAAGGCGGAAAAGCAGGGCGTGAAACAAGGGGCGGCCGCTGCAGCAATTGACTCCGCGCTGGGCGCGGTCACTGGTTCATCAGAGAAGAAGGGGAAGATTACGTCCTTCGGTGATGAGGCAGCGTGCGCCAAGGAGGATGCGGATAACGCCCTCTGCCTTTTGATCGCGGCGTTGAGACTTCCCAAGCGCATCGCGGATGACCCGGTGTTCCGCTACGCGGTCCAGTGCATTGCGCGCGCTGGACCGGGTTACGTCTCCCCCAACAGGCGCTTCATTGGAGGGGCAGGCTTGAAGAAGGTGCGGCAGAAACTCGAGGAGGCGCTCACCCCTGTTGCCGCGAGCTGGAAGCGGGACAGGGTCACCGTGTCGTCGAACATGATGACTGACCGTTGTGGCCGCCCGCAGGCCAACGTGCTCCTTGTCAGCGACTCTGGCGCAGTTTTCAAGCAGGCGGTCGACTGCCACATGGAGTCGAAGACCGGGGGGTACATCGTGAGCCTTCTCCGCCCCGTGATTGATATGGTGGGGCCGGAGAATGTGGTGGCGATCTGCACCGATGGGAGCAGCAACTATGCCTCGGCAGCCAGGAAGATTGCGAGCACATGGCCGCACATTGAGCATGTGCCATGTGCCACGCATGTCCTCGACCTTATGATGGAAGACGTGGGCAAGATGGGATGGGCGAAGGGGCTCGTGGAGAAGGGGGGGATGATGATTAACTTTGTGCGCAACCACCACTTCACCCGTGCATACATGAAGAAGGGTGGGGGGAAACAGGTACTCAAGCCCGCGGGGACCAGATTCGGGACGCAGTACATAGCTTTGGCCCGGCTATGCGAGGTGAGGGGCGGGCTGGCGAAGATGGTTCTCAGCGACGAGTGGAATGAGTGGGCGGTGGGGGACAAGGACAGGAAGATTGCAACTGAGAAGTTCAAGGCTGCCGTGATGGATGAGGAGTGGTGGGGGCTGGCGGGGTTTTTTACCTCTCTCATGGCGGTGCCGTTCAAGGCCATGCGGGCCACGAACTCCTCGGCGAAGGGGATGATGGGGAAGATGTATGATATCATGCTTCAGCTTACCGAAGACATGAATGACAAGTTGGACGAGGCAGGCGACTATTTGACTCGGGCCGAGCAGATATCACCAAGATTGTGAAGGACAGGTGGGACAACTCCCTTGCTTGCCCCATGCATGTGGTTGGCCGGATCCCGAATCCGGCCAACCAGGTGGAGGGAATTTTCAGGAACGATGTGGAGTGCACGCGAGTGTTCAAGGCCTACATCGAGCGCCACTATGACAACAAAACCTTCAAGCGTGGCAAGGATGGCGCCCCTCGCCGCACCTCCCTTGTGCTGCAAGAGGCATTGCTGGTCTACATCAACATGGAGGGCAGCTATGGCACGCCGGGCGCCATATCTGCAAGGGAGGCAGTGAAGAAGGGGGAGATGAGCATGGTGCAGTGGTGGTCGTGGCACAGCACCGAGTACCCTGAGTTGGCCGCCCTCGCATGCCGGGTGCTCACTCAGCCCGTCTCGGCTTCCCCATGCGAACGTGGCTGGGTGCAGTGGGAAGGCGTCCACACCGCCCGCCGCAACCGCCTCAGGTCTACCAAGTGTGCGGACCTCGTCTACATTGCGCACAACTGGAACGTTGTGCGCGATTGGTACAAGAAGGATGGGGGCAGCACGGTTGTGCCCGGTAACATCCCGGATGCCCCAATCCCTCGCGGCTACAACATGGACAAGGAGGAGGATGACCTGCTGGGGGGGAAGGAGAGGATGCAGTTCTGGCGGATGAGTATGGGGCAGGGGTGGTGTTGGAAAAGCCCCGCAAGGAACTCGGCTGTGTGGAGGCTAGCTAGAGGGTGGGGAGGGGATGTATGGGGTGGGGAGAAGTAGCCCCAAAGATGTATCTCTGGATATTTATGAAATTAAATTATGACATGTGTTTTTGGGAAACATACCCCCCCCCTTGAAACAGGTTTTTTTAGCCCTGCCCGGGAAACAAGTTTTACCTGCCCGCGCAGCGTATTTTTATGTATCACCGGTACGCCACCCCTAGCGTACCGCGTATATACCCAGCGTATAATACGCTAGCGTATTATACGTGATATTCGTATCTGCCAACATAGGGACTGGTATGGCTCTGCTACAGATTCCGGTTGCAGTCTTGCCCAGCGTTGTGTAATGCATGTCTTGTTTGCCGACCGACTTGGAAAACGTGCATGCCTAGGTTAGCCCGCTCACTAGAACCTGTTGCTGCCTTGCCTGTACCCTTATAAACATATCAATGTGGGACTGCTTGAGAGACACCCAGAGGTTCCTACGCCTCCTCGGTACACAGGCGGCCAAGAGGAAGTTGAGGCAGGGGAGGCTCACAACGATAGCCTCCAAGCTCACAACACACTACAGACAACGCTGGTCAGTGATGCTGCAGCGAAGCGAGGCAAACACCTTGCTGGCTAAGTCTAAGGATGAAGAGAGCGCCCTCTGCCACTTCACTGCACTTGGAATGCCTTCACCGTGCCACCACCTCACAATATCCCCCCAACCGCCCGCACCAACCCCCATCCCACCACCCTTCCCACCCAGAGTGCCCCATGCCCTTATGTGGTGCTGTGCGGTGTGTGGCGGCATGCCCACCTGCAGGGCGTGCAAGTACTGCGCCTGCAGCGCCTCGTCCTCCTGCGCCGCGGAGTCCAGGAACAGCACCGCGTGCAGCCCGTGTGTGCGCAGCGCCGCCCGCAGGAACAGAAACGCCACCACGCCCAGCGAGTTGTGCAGCAGCAGCACGAGTAGCTGGAAGGGCAGCTGCAGCATGGGGAGAACAAGGGGAGAGGGTGAGAGGAGAAGGGGAGAGATAGGAGAGGAAGGAGATGAGGGGAAGAGAGAGAGTTGGGAAGGTGAAGGGACATGTGGTAAGTGAGGGAGTGAATGGGGAACAGGTCTGGTGGGAGGTGACTAGGGATTGTTGAGCAGGTCAGCTCAGGCTCGTTCATCACTTGCTTGTCCTACTTAGCTCCATAGTAATTCTTCTCACCGCTTCATTGAGGAATGCTACTTGATGTAGCGAGCAAGAGCAAGAAAAACAGGGAGACACATTTCTCCTGCACGCAAGCAATTTAGTGGAGCGATGCCCTGGACTCTCATGGCACGCGGCCGCCGGGCAGCCCTCTGTGTGTGCACTGCCATGGCACGGCCCGTGAGCAGGAGTGCCGAGCGAGATCTTTACAGTGGACTCAAGCGCGAGGCGCAGGGGTGGTGTGGCACGCACTTGGTGTTGGGGGAGGTGGTCGGCGGGCTGCACGTAGGCGTAGAGGCCGCACGGCACCACGAGCAGCAGCGCCACGCCACTGCCCCACGTGAGCACAGCCCAGCGCCGCGACGACGTGTCGAGCCCCAGGAAGCGCAGCGTGGAGCGGAAGCGACGCACCTGCGCCTCGTGCAGCAGCGATGACGCACTCGCCTGCACCTGCTGCGCCGACGACCTGGGGGGGGGGAGGGTGGGTGCAGGGGTTGAGAGGGATGCTTTGGGGGGTGTTTTGGAGTCTCATTCATGCCTGGTGAACGGGAGGAGACAGAGGGACGTGTGGAGTGGTTGATGTTGGTATGGCGAGCAGCAGGCATATGGCAGGAGAAGTGGTGCCGCCCTTCCGTGCTGCCCCTCCATGCCGCACCGCGCATCTCGCACAAGAAATGCCTTGCCTCGCACTTCACCTAACTGCCTCTCTCGCACGTGTGTGTGGGCGCTCTACCTTCGGTCTCGATACGCGGCGTATCTGGGCGAGTGGCACAGCAACGAGTACTCGCGCTCCTCCGCACTCGCATCTGCACGCCCCCCCACATCCACCCTCGCGCGCCTCTCCACCTCGCCGCCTCCCCCACCTCCTCCCGCCACTTCCTCTCCTCTGCACATCTCTTTTTCCACCCACCACACGCTCCCACTCGACTTCTCACTCACTCTCTCGCCCCCTCTCTCCTCCGCACTCCCCCGCGCGCTCCCCCTGTGCGCGCACCCCCCTGGCGCTGCCCACAGTGCATCCTGCTCCACGGGCCACACGCCGTCACCTGTCACGCCGTCGTCAAACTGCCACGCGCCCCTGCCACCACCACCGCGCGCGCTGCTACCGACGTCCACCGTGCTGTCCGCGCAAGGCCCTGAGCCCATTCCGCCACGCCCTCGCGCGCCTGCATGCTCGCTCGCCTCACCACGCCTGCCCTCCTCCCTCGTCCCGCCCGCAGCGTCACTCTCCGCCCCACCACCGCCCCTCGGCCACCCGCCCCCATTGCCACGCGCCCCGCACGACTCGCCACCATCGCCCTCGCGCGTGCCGTGAGAGGCGTCGCCATGCGTCGTAGCAGTAGCGACGGTGGTGGGGGCGGGAGCAGCTGCAGCACGGGGAGCAGGAGCACGGGCGTCATCGTCACCTCGCCCCTGGCCCGCGTCCACATCGCTGCTCTCTTTGCTGCTGCACCCACTGAGCCTACTCCGTGCCTCCGCTGCGTCTCCGGAGCACCATCGCCCAAAACTCAGATTCGCCGCGTCGCCTGCGCGGATATGCGAGCCGTCGTTTTGACCGTTAAGTTTGAGCCCACCGGCGCGGCCATCGAGATCGGCGCCTCCGCCACTAGCGGCGATCGATTCGGCGAATCCTCCTGAAGCCATCGCGGCGCGGGCCAGGGAGGACGGGGGAACCGGGGGAAGGGCGGCGGCTGAGGAGGATGGGACGCGGATAGGCCGCAGGGAGCGGGGAATGGCGGCTGTAGCAGCACGCATGTTGGCGCCGCTTCTGGCATCGCCATCGCGCTGGTCGCTGCTGTTCGTGGCGTCACCGCTGCTGCCGTCGTTGCCGATAGGCAGGCACGCAGCAGAGCTGGGTGATGCACGCGCGCCGCCTACGGGCCGTGTAGGAGGCAGGTTGACGGCACAGACCCGCGAATCCACCTCGCGCGACCCCATCGACGGTGTTTGAGGCGCAAGCGAAAGGTGCTCCGCTGAGCTGTAACGAGCCCGCTTGCACGATAACTGAGATAAAACACTACGGAATGCCGGCCGATATCCTCCTTCTAGCCATGGCATCAAATTGGACTGAACTGGGCCGCCAGAACCGCTGCGAGATGTGTTCGTGGGACCGGCTAATGAACCATGGGGGGAAATGGTAAGGACGCGGCACCTCTAGGGAGCAGCCACGATCAATCCTGAGTGAGGATCGATCCTGCCTTGTACAGTGAAATCGCGACATCGCCAACAGGCTGGTATCCGTCTTCGCCCCACCTCGCAAGTGTACAAAAAATTGGTGCCCAAAATGGTGGCACCTCTGGCTCGCACGTTCGATGTGCCAACGCCCACACATCGATCGTGAAATTGTGGAGATCGGGCAATTTTGCCCCTTGTATTTTCGATCCTGTAACCTGTGGCTCGGTGTGTCCAGGCGATTGCAAATCTGCAGTGTGGACACATCGATATGCGGATCGATGTGCCTAAACTGGTGTGAGGCCCCGAACCCCCACCGACCCTGACAATTTCACTAGAGGTGCCGCGTCCTAGCAGGCTACGAAAATTGCACGTCATTGCTGTTGGAGAATCAAGATTCTGCCGCCCCAGCCCCTTGCACACAAGGAGCAGCAAGGGGGGAATGTCGGCGACGGATTGAAGGCTTCGCAAACAAATCAGAAAGTTTCTCAACCAATCAGATTGGAGCCGAATTCTCCATACAGTTCGGAATTGTTTTCAAGAAGAAGTGTCAACAGTTTCTACAGGTTTCTACCAAACAAAATCAGCTATGACAGAGAATTCCAGAGCTTTCTTATTCATGCACCTCGTGTGGCTCTCAAGTCACTCAAGGTTCATGGAATCTGAATTGTGCCTAAGTTCTCCAGGAAGTTGCCTTGTCTAGCAACCTAGTTTGAGCTATCAATCTGCATGATTGTAATGCTTAAGAAGTTGTGCCTTAGTGGGCTTGTACAATCTTGAGCATAGTGAAGTTTTACCTCATCCAGTCAATTCCAGCAACCCTGCTAAGACTTTCCAGCCAAGTTTCCAGCCCTCCAGTATTCACAGCTACTCTGTTTTACAAGTTGGTATCAGAGCTCGTCGTTTCGATCAACCTAGCCCAGCACGTTCCTATCCTAGCACCATACGAACATGGCGGGAGACAATCCATCTGGTCCTGCACTCTAGCCAGCCGGAGGAGCTTCAGAGTCAACATCAGCAGCTACTGGATGTCAAATGTTGTAGCCTGTAGTGAGGTTTGTCTTAGGGGGTACAGAAGTTAGGGTTTGTTATATGTACCCCAACCAACATCAATGGAACATCCATTCCTCATTCTGACATGGTATCAGCTAGGTTAGGATCCTGTGGGATCCCGTTCCTCCGTTCTCCGTTCGTACCTCCCGAGCCTGATCCTACCTCTCGTTCGTACCAGTTTCGTTGTTACCGCGCCTAGTACCGAGCCTAGCGCCATCTCCCCCGTCGCGTCACGCCCGTTCCCCCCCGTCGCGTCGCGCCCGTTCCCCCCGTCGCGTCGCGCCCGTTCCCCCCGTCGCGTCGCGCCTGTTCCCCCCGTCGCGTCGCGCCCGTTCCCCCCCGTCGCGTCGCGCCCGTTCCCCCCGTCGCGTCGCGCCCGCCTGTTACCCCCCCCGTCCCGTCGCCCTGTCCCGTCGCGTCGCCCTGCCCTGTCCCGTCGCCCTGTCCCGTCGCGTCGCCCTACCCCGTCACGTCGCCCTGCCCTGTCCCGTCGCCCTGCTCCGTCGCGCCGCCCTGCCCCGTCGCGTCGCCCTGTCCCGTCGCGTCGCCCTGCCCCGTCGCGTCGCTCCCGCCCTTTCCCCCGTCGCGTCGCCCTCCCTAGGCCCTGGCCCGTCGCCCTCCCTAGGCCCTGGCCCGTCGCCCTCCCTAGGCCCTGGCCCGTCGCCCTCCCTAGGCCCTGGCCCGTCGCCCTCCCTAGGCCCTGGCCCGTCGCCCTCCCTAGGCTCTGGCCCGTCGCCCTACCCTAGGCCCTGGCCCGTTGCCCTACCCTACTTCTTGGCCCGTCGCCCTAGCCCGCTCTTCCGCTGCGACTGAGTCCTCTTCCCCCCCGGTTGTTACTCGCCTGTTCGTTCGCGTTGGTTCTCACTATGGCGACTCCGCGAGTTCTTCGTTTCGACGCCGACGGTAGACCCCTTGACTTTTCCGTCTGGCTTCTTCGCGCTCGTCGTCTGTTAGAGAGTCAGGTCCAGGGGGGCGAGACCCTCTGGTCACACGCTACTGGTGACCTCCCCGAGCCCCCCGAGCCTACAGCTTTAGGCCCTGCTCCTGACGACGCTGCTACGGCTCGCTTTGCCCGTCAGCGCGCTGACCGGACGGCTTGGACGTCGCGTGACGCTGCGGCCTGCATCGCACTCAGCAGCCTCCTCCCTGAGTCCGAGGAGGTCCACTTTACTCAGGTTCGCACCGCTGCTGCGTACCTCACTGCGATTAAGGCCCGCTACTCTACTCCCGCTACTGTCTCTCTCGGCCGTCTTTTCCTCCCGTTCCTGTTTCCTGATCTTGCCTCGTTTGAGCGCTCTGCTGACTTGATCGCTCACCTCCGCTCGCTCGACGCTAGTTACCGCGCTGCTTGCACTGAGGCACAGCTTGCACTGCTTCCTCCCCCCATGGCGATTACTGTCTATTTCATCGCCACTAGCCTCCCTGACCGCCTTGCCTCCGTTCGTGACGCGCTTCTGCTGAAGCACCCTAGTGAGCTGACTATCGAGGTCCTTGAGTCTGCACTCAAGGACGTCGAGAGCAACCTTCGTTCGGTAGCTGCCGCCTCTGGTACTGTGTCCCCCCCACTCTTCCACGGGTGCACAGTCCCGCAGTTACCCACCTTCACTGCCTCTCTTGCCACTGCCGCTACTGACGCGACTGCGGCTGCTGTTACGACTGCGTCGCGGTCCCGCGGCAGGGGGGGCAAGAAAGGTGGTTCCGGTGGAGGTGGAGGCGGAGGTAGCGGAGGTAGTGGGGGTGCTGTTGCGACTGGCGGTGGTGGGAGTGCAGCGTCTGGAGAGACCCCTCGTGCAGCGGCTGGTGACTCCACTGCACCTGCTGGTGGCGGCGACCCTCGAGCTCGTCAGTCGCCTCCTGTACTGCCGGCCCCGCTAGGTGGAGCAGCGGCGTGGTACCAGGCTCAGCGTCAGCAGCACCTTCAGCAGCAGCAGCAGCCCCTTTCCTCCCAGCAGCCTCAGCAGCAGCAGCGTCAGCAGCTGGCTCAGGGGTCGGGGCTGCGTCAGCCCCAGCGCGGTGCGGCTTACCCTCCCTGCCCCTACCAGGTTCAGACAGGTCCTCGTCGGGGCCACCCTTGTGGCCGCTTTCACCCCCCTGGTCAGTGCTTTGCTCAGCTCACTGACACGGTCCGGTTGACCTACGGGGTTGGCGGTCCTGCTCCTGACTGGCTTCCTCTGGTTCACCGCTACGGCTCCGCTCTGTGGGGCATGTCTGCTGAGCAGTTAGTTGATCTGATTAGTGCTCCTCATGCTATGTATGCTGTTGTTGACTCTAGTGTTTCTGACTCTGTTTACTCTGGTGTTGTTAGCTTAGGTGCTAGTCTTGCTCAGTTGCCTGTTGCTAGTGTAGGTACTTGTGTAGACTCCAGACCAGCGACTACCTCAGAGGACGCTTCGCTGTCGTTCACACTGGACTCTGGAGCCTCCCACTGCTTCTTTCGGGACAGCACGACACTTACACCACTTCCTGCGCCTGTTTCTGTAGCGTTGGCTGATCCCACTACGGGACCAGTCACTGCACGTCACACTACCACTTTACCGTGTCCTGCTG